CAGAGAGAGGTTTGGCGATGAAGAGAAATGAGGTCAAGTCTTGGTTTCTTTACTTCCTGGCCCTCGGGTCTTCTGGCCCTCAATGTCTCCCCGGGAATGAGAGGGATCCGAGGCTGTGGAAAGATCATGCAGCTGCTGCCAGGTGTAGTGGCGTGCATCTGTAATCCTAGTTACTCAGGAGGCTGAAGTGGGAGGATGGCTTGAGGCCGGGAATTTGAGACCAGTCTGGGCAATATAGCAAGAACCTGCATCCCTCATCTCAAAGAAAGCAAAATAAAAAAGATCTGCCCCTGGTGCTGATGGTGCCATAACTGCTGGAGATATGATGTGACCTTGGTTATCACTGTCTTTACTAGAGTTTGGTCATAGAGATAGGAGGATGGGATCAGAGTTCCACTCTCAGGAGTTATGCGGTGAAATCAACAGGAAACAGTGACCAATTGGGTAGTCCTGTAATCAAGCATCTCAGTCTTAAAATGTATTCTAAAGTTATTTTTCCCTCTCTCTTAATCTTAAAACTTGGAACACATTTTAGAAACTTCTTTTCACCATGCAGGCTCATCTGTCCTGATGCTTGTTTAGAAATTCCTGGAACTATTTTTTTTTTTTTAATCAGATTTGGCTTATTTTATTTTTGTTTGGTGCCTGGGAGGATTTATTAGGTATGTGTATTCATGAAGGTTAGGTTTACCCTTCTTTTTTTTGTTTTTATGTCGGAATCTCACTCAGTCACTCAGTCTGGTGTGCAGTGGCATACTCATGGCCTCTGCAGCCTTGACCTGCTTGGCTCAGGTGATCCTTCTGCCTCAGTCTTCCAAGTAGCTGGAACCACAGGTGTGTGCCACCACGCCTAGCTGATTTTTTCATCTATTTTAGAGACAAGGTCTCGCCATGTAGCCCAGGCTGGTCTTGAACTCCTGAGCTCAGGCAATCCTCTTGCTTCTGCCTCCAGAAGTGCTGGGATTACAGGTGAGAGCCACCACCTCCGGTGATTTTGTTATTTTTATGGCTGCATAGTATTCCACAGCATATATGTAACACATTTTCTTTGTTTCTTTGTTTTTTTTTTTTTGAGTCAGAGTCTTACTCTGTCGCCCAGGTTGGAGTGCATTGGCATGTTCATGGCTACCACAGCATCGATCTGCCAGCCTCAGGTGATCCTTTCACCTCAACCTTTCAAGTAACTGGGAACTACAGACATGCACCACCATGCCCAGCTAATTTTTAAATTTATTGTAGACATGAGGTCTCACCAAGTTGCCCAGACTGGACTCAGGCAATCCTCTGGCCTCTGCCTCCCAAAGTGCTGGGATTATAGGCATGAATGTTCTTTTTTGTTGTTGTTCTTTTTGGTTTTTGAGTTGAAGTCTCACTCTGTTACCCAGACTGGAGTACGGTGGCATGCTCACTCCCATCGCAGCCTTAACAGGTGTCTTTTTGAGTGAATGATTTATGATCCATTGGGTATATTCCAATGGAATCCAATGGAAGTGGCATTGCTGGGTTGAAGGGTAACTATTTTTAGGTCTTTGAGAACTCATCACACTGCTTTCCACAGGGGTTGAACAAGCATACGTTTGTTTTGTTTTGTTTTGTTTGAGTTGGAGTCTCACTCTGTCGCCCAGACTGGAGTGCAGTGGCTACTTAGAAGGCTGAGGCGGAAGAATCGCTGGAGCCCAGCAGGTCGAGGCTGTGGTGGCTGGGAGTGTGCCACTGCACTCCAGTCTGGGTGACAGAGTGAGACTCCAAGTCAAAAAAAAAAAAAGTAATTTGGGGGTGGGGTGAAAAAAAAAACACAGAAGTAATTTAAATTTACTCCTTCTGCTCTGATGGAAAAAAGTCCCCAGGGGCTAATCTGAAAACAGTCTGACTGCAAGCCTGAAGGAAATCATGAGAAAGTGATCCATAACCTGACTGAGATAACACTCAGACCTCCCAAGATAAACCATCAAGATACACCCTGTGCCATGCCTGCATACTAAGTTTCTCTTTTTATTTATTTATTATTTTGGGGTCCAAGTCTTTCTTACTCTGTTGTCCAGTCTGGAGTGCAGTGGCATACTCACAGCTCGCTATAGTCTCAAACACCTGGGCTCAAGCAGTCCTCCTGCCCCAGCCTCCCGAAGTAGCTGGGACTACAGGCATGTGCCACCACACCTGGCTATGCTTTTTATTTTTTATAGAGATGTCTCGCATTATTGCCCAGGCTGGTCTCAAACTCCTGGACTTAAGCAGTTCTACAGTCTCAGCCTCCCAAAGTGCTGGGATTATAGGATTGAGGCACTATGCCCAGCCCAAGTTTCCCTTTTTATTTTATTTGATTCTTTTTTTTTTTTTTTTTTTTTTGAGTTGGAGTCTCACTCTGTCACCCAGGCTGGAGTGCAATGGCACGCTCATGGCCACCACAGTCTCGACTTTCTGGGCTCAGGTGATCCTTCTGCCTCAGTCTTCCAAGTAGCTGCAACTACTTGCACATGCCACCATGCCTGGCTAATTTTTTTTTTTTTTATAGAAATGTGGTCTTGCCAAGTTGCCCAGGCTCAGGCATTCCTCTCACCTCGGCCTTCCAAAATGCTGGGATTGTAAGTGTGAGTCACCATACCCGGCCTATTCTATTTTATTTCATTTTATTTTTGAGTTGGAGCCTCACTATGTCACCCAGGGTGGAGAGCACAATCACTGCTCACTGCAGTCTTGACCTTCTGGGCTCAAGGTATTTTTCTGCCTCTGCCTCCCTAGTAGCTAGGACTACAAGGGTGCACCACTGGCTATGTTTTCTTTTTTTCTTTTTATAGAGCCAAGGTCTTGCTATGTCACCCAGGCTGGTTGTGAACTCCTGGGCTCAAGCAATCCTCTCATTTCAGCCTCCCAAAGTTGGGATTATATGCCCGACCATTCCCTTTAAACCCTTGCACTCAGCCTACAAATCTGAGATTTTTTTTTTTTTGAGACATAAGCCTGGCCATACCCCATTTGCCTGTTGGAATAAAACCTGTTTCCTTTCAGTGTCTCTGATCCTCTCAAGTTTGGCTTTGGGTAACAAGTGGCTGACCTTGCATTGGTTACAGCATTGGCACCAGGGACAGAAACTGTACACCAAGATTGCCATTTTTAGCTAAGTGCAATGGTTCACTCCTGTGATCCCAGCACTTTGGGAGGCTGAGGTAGGAGCCCCAGGAGTTCAAGACCAGCCTGTGCCACATAGCTAGACCTCGACTCTACAAAAAAATAAAAGTAAATTAGCCAGGCTTGGTGACGCATGGTTGTAATCCCAGCTACTCAGGGAGCTAGCTAGGAGGATCACTTGAGCCCAGAAGTTTGAGGCTGTGGTGAGCCATGATCAAGCCACCACAATCCATTCTGGGCATCAGAGTGAGTCCTCTACTCAAACAAACAAACAAACAAACAAAAAACACATAAAATAAAATTGTCATTTCTGCCCAAGTTGCCCAGGCTGGTCTTGAACCCCTGGGCTCAGGCAATCCTCTCACCTCTGCCTCCCAAAGTGCTGGGATTATAGGCGTGAGCCACTGGTCCAGGATAGTGACTTTCTCTCTTCAGATGTTTACCTTCTTTTATGTCCAGTGTATTCTAGTATTCACCTAACTACCTACCTGCCCCTCTTCCCACACACCTTGCCCCCTTAAGGAAATGTGTACATACAAAATGTCCTGAAAACTTCTTTAGAAAAACTTCCACAAATTTTTCTGTGGCCCCTGTTTTTTGTGGACATGCCCTAAAGTGGCTTCATAAACCCATTTCTGTTGTCAGTGCCTTCCCCAAGTCACAGCCCCCACCTTGGAAGAGGGCTTCTTAGCCCTGGACAGAGAAGAAACATGAGGCCGAAGGGTAGGGGACCCGGGTTTGCTCAGATACGGTGCCACCTCCCTGCCCTTCTCCATTCCAGCCCTGTCTTTTATCAGAACCCACTGTGTGACCAGGCATGGTGGTCACGTCTGTAATCCTAGCATTTTGGGAGGTGGAGGTGAGAGTATTGCCTGAGCTCAGGGGTTCGAGACCAGCCTGGGCAACTTGGCATGACCTTGTCTCTACAATAAATCAAAACTTAGCCAAACGTGGTTCGTGCATGCTTGCAGTTCCAGCTACTTGGAAGGCTGAGGCGGAAGGTATCGCCCAGCTGTTTGATGCTGGAGTGGCCGTGAGCTTAGCCTGGGTGACGGAATGGGACTCAAACTAAAAGAAAAGAAAGAAAGAACCCACTACATGATGTGATCTTGGACAAATCTTTGGCTGCCTCAGTTTCCCCAGTATGGTGATGGTGGTGGTAGAGAGGAGGAGAGATTGTAGAGAGTTGACTTCCAAGGGTGTCAGCAGCGCCAAGTGTCCCACATTTTATTTTTTTTATTTATTTATTTTTTGAGTTGGAGTCTCACTCTGTTGCCCAGACTGGAGTGCAGTGGCCACTCCCAGCCACCGCAACCTCGACCTACTGGGCTCCGGCGATCCTTCCGCCTCAGCCTTCCAAGTAGCTGGAACTACAGGCGCGTGCTACCACGCCCGGCTGATTTTTTGATTTATTGCAGAGATGAGGTCTCGCCAGGTTGCCCAGGCGGGTCTCGAACCGCGGGCTCAGGCAATCCACTCACCTCGGCCTCCCAAAGCGCGGGATTACAGGCTGAGCCACCAAGCCCGGCCGTGTCCCACATTTTAAAATGCTAAGGTACATTCAGGACTTCCCCTCTCCCAAGCGTCCTGCCCCTTTGGGTGCCCAGGTGAGCGCCGGGAGCAGGCTGGGGCAATGATGGCCTGAACCCAGCGCCTTTTTGCTCATTTACTCCACAGAGGCATCCCGGGGCCTGACTCCCCCGCCTATCCCCAGAGCCCAGACGGTGACCCAAGCGGACCCCGCTCCTGCCTGGCCCTGCCTGGCCCCGCCCGGCCCCGCGGGAAGGTGAGGCCGGGGGCGGGGCCGGGCGCGGCGGCTGGAGTGGCCCGGGCTTGATGACTACACTGGCCTGTCTCACACCTGCCACCATCGGATGGGGCTGCTACCTCCGGGCCCGCCAGTCATGCTGCTGTTGCCGCCGACTCTGCTGTTGCTACTGGGCCCTGAACCCAGCCCCAGTGCGGGTGAGTAGGAAGGGGCCTCCGGGTCCGGGAGTTCCCGGGACTCTTCCAGCCTCCGGGGGAACCCAGGAGCCTGTATCCTAGTCCTCCCCAGGGGTCCTCACTCACCTACTCCTCCCAGGGACTCAGATCCAGCCTGTCCCTTCCCAGGGACCCAGAGGTCTCTCCAGACATCTGCCTCCCAGGCACTGTAAGTCCTGCCAGCAGCCTAGCCCTCCCCACACCCTGATCCTGGGTCCTGTGAACTTACCTTTCCCTCCACCTGTCCAGGAGTCTGAGGTAGGACCTTTCACCAGGTGGATTCCAGAGGGTGGGAGGAATGGGGGGACCCAGCTTGGGGTGGGAGAAGAACATATGGGTTCCTTCTCACCCATCCTGGAGTCACTATCAGAGAGGTCCCCTTGGCGACTGCCCATTTCTGGGACACACGTGTGTGGGGACACACACACACACACACACACACACACACACACACACACACACACTCACACTCATGGAGAAATATACAGACACCAGAAGGACTGAGAATCCCAAGCTCAGAACCAGCCCCAAGACCCACCTGGGTTCTAGGGTATACGGTCCACACAGGCCCAGACACTCCAAGGAAAACACATACACAACTCAAGGACACCTGGGGTTACATGCAGGGCAAACTCAGATGCACAATGGACACACACACACACACACACACAGAGAAACACAGACACACATAGGCGTGCACACATATTCTCTGGGTCTATGGGGCCGTAGATGTCCACATGGGCCTGGCACTCCTGGGGAAGCTGCAGCGGGCAGACAGAGCAAACAGACCCCAGCGTGACCTGCTCCACCTATGTTGGCACAGAGGGAGTGTTTTCCTCGGTTCTAAACCCAGTGCCTGGTGTGTGCGCCTAGCCTGTGCCCTCCACAAGGCTGTTCCCAGGGCTCCGAGATACCAGAGAGTAGTCAGGTGAGGGCAGGGGGGAGGACCCCTGGGGACAATTCAGAGTGTGATGTTGGGATGGGGACCTTGTTGGGGTGCTTAGGGTGGGAGTGTCCCCTGGGGCTTGGTGGAACTAGAGGTCAGGGGACTTCTGGAAGTTCACCATGAGCCAGAGCTGCTCAGATCTGGGACCTGCTGAAGAGACCTCCTGGGCTGGGGCATCATTCCTGTAAGCAGACAGCAGCTCAGGATGGCGAGGGTCCTCCTGGCCACCTGGGTCCAAGGTGGCCAGTGAGTAGGGTGAGAGCATTTGCCCTGAGTGTACATGTGACAGGATGTCACTGGAGAGACAAATCATGATTCCTAGTGTGGGAGCGAGGACGCTGGAGAGGTGGGAGATGCTGACTCTCACCAAGCCTAGGGTTGCAGCGAGGGCCCCTGAACTTTGTCTAGACTCCATGGGAGCCACGGAAGGTATGAAGCAGATGTGCACATTGCTAGGGGAGTGAGGGCTGGTCATCAGAAAGGATGTGTTTTTATATTTTCTTCCTGTTTGATTCATCTCTGTTCTCCCACGTTAATAGACTAATTTTTCCACTGAGAAAAAGACAATGTTGGGCAGAGTGCAGTGGCTCATGCCTGTTACTCCAGCACTTTGGGAGGCCAAGGCAGGAGGTTCACTTGAGGCCAGGAATTCAAGACCAGCCAGGGCATAGTGAAACCTTGTCTCTACAAAAAATGAAAAGAACTAGCCAGGCCTGACGGCATGCACCTCAGGAGACTGAGGTGGGAGGATGCTTGAGTCCAGGAACTGGAGGCAGCAGTGAGCTGTAAACATGAAATTGCACTTCAGCCTGGGTGACAGAGCAAGACCCTGTCTCTCTCTCTCTCTTTTTTTTTTTGAGTTGGAGTCTCACTCAGTCACCCAGACTGGAGTGCAGTGGCTGCTCCTGGCCACCGCAGCCTTGACCTGCTGGGCTCCGGCGATCCTTCCGCCTCAGCCTTCCAAGTAGCTGGAACTATAGGCTACCACACCCGGATAATATTTTTGATTTATTGTAGAGATGAGGTCTCGCCAAGTTTCCCAGGCAGGTCTCGAACCCACGGGCTCAGGCAATCCACTCACCTTAGCCTCCCAAAGTGCTGGGATTACATATTGAGCCACCGAGCCCGGCTCTTTTTTTTTTTTTTTGAGCTGGAGTCTCACTCTGTTGTCCAGGCTAGAGTGCTGTGGCACATTCATGGCCACTGCAGTCTCGATCTGCTGGACTCAGGCAATCTTTCCGCCTCAGCCTTCCAAGCAGCTGGAACCACCTGCACACGCCATCATACTCAGCTAATTTTTTGCTTTATTGTGGAGACAAGGTCTCACCATGTTGCCCAGGCTGCTCTCAAACCCATGGACTCAGGCAATTCTCTCACCTTGGCCTCCCAAAGTGCCGGGATTGCAGGCTTGAGCCATCACACCCCATCAATCCTGAGTCTTTTAAAAAAAAAGAATTTAAATTTGGTCTGGACTCTTCAAAAAAGTTCATGTTCTATGTCTGGGTACGGTGGCTCAGCCTATAATCCCAGCACTTTGGGAGGCCAAGGCGAGAGGATTGCCTGAGCCTAGGGGTTTGGGACCAGCCTGAATACCTTGGTGAGACCTCAACTCTACAATAAATCACAAAAACTAGCCAGGTGTGGTGGCGTGCATCTGTAGTTCCAGCTACCTGGAAGGCTGAGGCAGAAAGATCGCCTAAGCCCAGCAAGTTGAGGCTGTAGTGACCATGAGCGTGCCACTGCACTCCAGCCTGGGCGACAAGAGTGAGACTCCAACTCAAAAAAAAAAAAAAAGAAATGAAAGAGACTAAATGACCATATGCGCTGTATCGACTTCCCCTGGGTCCTTAGTCCAGGGCAGTAGAGAGTGGACTCCCAGGCAACAGGCAGACCTGGGTGTGAGTTTCAGCTCTGCTGCCAATGGTTTATCACCCTGGAAGGCCACCTTCTGCTATTACTGAGCCAGGAAAAAGGAACACTGGTTTGTGAGTCAGAAGCCTGGGCTGGAGCCCCCACTTGGATTCCTGTTGACTGGGGAATGTGGGAGTCGCCTTTCTTGGCTGGTCTCCTCTTTCTTGTCTGTCAGATGCAGGGGGTTCAGTCACATCTACTGGGCACCAGTACGTGCCAAAGATGCATTGGGTGCCCAGGAAAACAGCTGGGCTCACACCAAGGGTCTCCTTCTCTGGGCAGTGAAAATAGGAGATGCAAAGGGCCTGAGGCAGTTTGGAGGGGAGAGGTAGGGCACAGGGGAGGACCAGCAACTGGAAAGCACCCACAGAGGCACCCTCTTGGTGACGGGGGCCCTATTTTGCTTGTCTCTGATACCTAGTGCCCAGCACAGGCAACTGGAGAGATCTTTTTAAAATTTTGCTTTATTTTAGTCAGGCATGGTGGCTCACGCCTGTAATCCCAGCACTTTGGGAGGCTGAGGCGAGAGGACTGACTGAGCCCAGGGAACCAGCCTGGACAACTTGACAAGACCCTCGTCTCTATAATAAATCAAAAAATTAGCCGGGCATGTTGGCACAACCCTGTATTTCCAGCTACTTGGAAGGGTGAGGCAGAAGTATCTAATGAGCCTAGCAGATCGAGGCTGAGGTGGCCATGAGTGTGCCACTGCATTCCAGTCTGGGTGACAGAGTGAGACTCTGGCTCAAAAAATAAGTAAGTACAATTTGTTTTATTTTTATTTTTTAAAGACAAGGTCTCACTCTGTCACCCAGGCTGGAGTATAGTGGCATGATCATGGCTCACCACAGCCTCGACCTCCGAAGCTCAAGTGATCCTCCCACCCCGAGTAGCTGGGACTGCAGGTGCACATGCCACCATGCCTGGCTAATTTTTAAATTTTTTTTGTAGAGACGAGGCCTCACTACATTGTCCAGGCTGGTTTCAAAATTCTAGGCTGAAGAAATCCTCCCACTTCGACCTCCCAAATTGTTGAGATTACAGGTGTGAGCCACTGCGCCCGGGCTGGATAAACACTTGATGCACAGTGTGCAATCTAACTGCATCTGGAGTTGACATGGGTAGGAGATTGGGAAGCAAATCATTTCAGGAAGAGAGACCAGCCTGTGCAAAGGCCCAGTGGTGCAATCTCTCACATGCTGTGGCCTGTGACTCATTTTTCCTTTCATTTTTCCTTGATTATAATAGTTAGACCTTGTCATGTGCCAGGTGTCTTATATGCATTCTCTGACTTCAGTCTATGGGTTGAGCTTATATTAACCCCGATTTCGTAGACAAGGAAACTAAAGCACAGAGTAATTAGTAATTTGACCAAGGTCACACAGTTAGGAAGTAGGATTCAAACCCAGGCAGTCAGGCTGCAACTCCCAGGCCCTTCTCAGACTAGCACTCTTCCCTAGGTCCGGGGACATCCTAACCTGCAGTCTCTGATCTTTGTTTACCCCCTCCAGCCTTCAAGCAATCACATGTGTACCGGCGTGGGATCCTGGAATTGGCAGGGACTGTGAATTGTGTTGGCACCCGATCCCCCATTGCCTACATGAGCTATGGCTGCTACTGTGGCCTGGGTGGCCACGGCCAGCCCCTTGATGCCATTGACCAGTAAGTGCATGCTTGGGCCCAGGATAGAAGCTCCTCTTCCCCATGAGGAAATACCCAGAACTGAAGCTGGGATTTGGACCAGGAAATCCCAGCACATGGCACTCCCTTGCAGGCAGAGGGCCTCTTGGGGGACGTGCCTCATGATGCTGGAGCTTGATGCCAGCTGTCCCTTACCTGGCTGTGGGCCTATGACATTGCCTAAAAAATGGCATAAAGGAAACCAGACTGATTATATACTGGGAACTGCTCTGAGAATCCATTTGATTCCTTGCAACGGCCCTATTTCACGGACAAAGAACTGAAGCACAGCAAGCTTAAGTAATTTGTCAGGGCCATACACAGAGCAAGGCATGGGAGCTGGGATTTGAACCTGAGCAGTCTGGCTGGCCTCGTTCCCCAGCCTCTGCACTCTGGCTGCCGTGGGGGAAGCGCCTGCTCTGTGCCGGGCTGTGCTTTCTGCGACTTGCTCGCTTCATCTTCACGGCCATTTGCAGAGACAGGGGTGACAGTTATCCCCACTTTACACATGAGGACCCTGAGGCTCAGTGGGGTGCAGCCACTCACCCATTTCCACAAACCAGCAGATAGCAGAGGGCAGAGCTCAGCTGCCTCTCCTCTACCTTGGAGGCTGTCATTGTCACCGAGGGGGTCTTGATTCGACCCTGTGCCTTGGATGCTTCTGCTGCTGGGCCATGTGCTCCTGCGCTCTGGTTGTCTGGTTCCTGCACATCATTCAGAAGCAACTCAGGCATCATCCACTCCAGGAAGCCTTCCCTGAAGCCTGGTTGGATCTGCCACCTCGTCTGGGCTCCCAGAGTCCCGCTACTCACCCCACATCCTGCGCTTCTCACCATACGTGTGCCTGGTGACTTGTTGGCCTGCACTGGGGTCTCCCTGAGATCAGGGCGGGGGCTGGTTGACCTCTCTACACCAGACCTTGCTGAGGGATACACAGAGTAGGGCTGACAGGTGGACAGAGAGAATATCAGTGAACGAATGAATGAGGGAATGACTAACAGGTATAGAGGGGTTGGTGAATGTTCCTTAGGGAACTGTTCAACAGTACACATTTATTGAGATCCTGTTATGTGGTAGGCCTTGGGCTGGGCCCCAGGGACACTGTGAGGAACAGGACAGCTCTCTGATCATCATGGAGGATAGAAGTGAATGAGTTTATCATGCGGGTTTCACTGTAAACCTGCCCTAAAAGGAAAGAGCCTGGCTGTTTTTTCTTCTTTTTTTGCAGTAGGAGTCTCACTCTGTCCCCCAGACTGGAGTGCAGTGGCATGCTCACTCGACCTGCTGGGCTCAGTCGATCCTTCCACCTCAGCCTTCCAAGTAGCAGGAACCGTAGGCACACATTATCATGCCCGGCTAATTTTTTGATTTATTGTAGTGACGAGGTCTCATCAACTTGCCCAGTTTGGTCTGGAACCCCTGGGCTCAGGAAATCCTCTCGCCTCTGCCTCCCAAAGTGCTGGGATGTCAGGCATGAGCCACTGCGCCCAGCCAGGAGCCTGGCTTTATGAGAGGATATAGCCTGGGGAGGTAGACAGAGACCTGGGTGACATTCAGGGGCTGGGAGGTGGAACTTGGGCTACAGCCCAGGGACAAAAGAGGACACGATGTTGTCCTAGGCAGAGGATACCACACAGGCCAAGTTGGAAGGTGGCAGGGGCTTGCTCCCTGTAGGAACAGGGGAGGTTGGTGTTGCAGGGCTTAGAGAGCAAGACAGGGGCCAGGCTCAGGCTGGGGCCAGTGCATTATGGGGCTTTTCAGGGACAAAGCTTAGACCAGAAGGTGTTGACTCCTTGGGGGGGGTCTTTACTCACCCGAGGCCCAGGCAAGGGAGGACGGCCAGGAGAGCTCCTGCCTTCACCCCTGAGGGTCTGTCCTTGTGACATCCACAGGTGCTGCCAACAGCACGACTGCTGTTACAGTCGCACAGAGGACGCTGGCTGCATGCCCAAGCTGCAACGTTATTCCTGGCAGTGTGTCAACCAGAGTGTTGTGTGCGGTGAGTCTCCACGTGCCTACCTCCCCAGGTGTCCCCTGCATCCCGGCAGAGCCACATGGCATTTGTGCCCCTGTGGCAACAATGTGCTGTTACTTCCAACTCTCCATAGACCACACTTGGGTTTATCTAATATATGAGATCTTTAACAGTGAGCCCTTGGGAAAAAAACCAAAACTAAACTAAAGAAAGAGATTTCTTCTGTGTCAGGACAAAAAGGAGTGAGGTAGAAATGGCACCAGTTATAATAAACAACCTAAACGTCCATCAGAAGGGGGCTGGTGGCTGGGCACAGTGGCTCATGCCTATAATCCCAGCACTTTGGGAGACTGAGGTGGGAAGATTGCTTGAGCCCAGGGGTTCAAGACCAGCCTGGGCAACATAGTGAGACTTCATCTCTAGAAAAAACAAAAAAACCCGGGCCAGACTCAGTGGTTCAGCCTGTAATCCCAGCACTTTGGGAGGCTGAGGCAAGTGGATTGCCTGAGCCTGCGGGTTCAAGAATAGCCTGGGCAATTTGGGGATACCTTGTTTCATAAATCAAAAAAATCAGCCGTGTGTGGTAGCATGTGCCTATAGTTCTGGCTTCTTGGAATGCTGAGGTAGAAGGATTGCTGGAGTCCAGCAGGTCGACACTGGGGTGGTGGTGAGTAAGCCACTGCACTCCAGCCTGGGTGATGGAGCGAGACTCCAACTCAAAAAAAAAAAAAAAAAAGCTGTGCGTGGTGGCACAGGCCTATAGTCCCAGCTACTTGAGAGGCTGAGGTGGAAGGATCCCCTGAGTCTAGGCTGCAGTGGCTGTGACTCTGGCTCAAAAAAAAAAAAAAATTTTTTTTTTGAGACTCTGGCTCAAAACAAAAAAAAAATTTTTTTAAAAAGCAAGGTGTGGTGGCTTACACCTATAATCCCAGTACTTTGGGATGCAGTGGCAAGAGGATTGCCTGAGTCCAGGGGTTCTAGACCAGCCTGGGCAACTTGGTGAGACCTAATTTTTACAGACTTCCTTTACAGTAAATTAAAAAATTAGTCGGGCATGGTGGTGCATGCCTGCAGTTCCAGCTACTTGGAAGGCTGAAGTGGACTGCATGAGCCCACCAGGTCAGGTCACTGCTCTCCAGCCTGGGCCACAGAGTTAGGCTTTCACAGCATCAGACCCAGTAACAACCATTGTTTGGAGCTTCTCTACACTCCTCACCGTGCCCTATTGTCTATCTGACATTAAGACCAAGTGTTAATTACTATATTTCATTTCCCTTGTGCCATTTATTTCATTATGAAAAAGAAATATTTCCTCAAAGCCAAAGAAACAGAAGGCAGGCCAAAGGGCTGAATATTGGAAGAAAAATGGGAGTGGTGAACCAATTTATTGTTAAAATGAAGAGTATTTTGATGTTTGGTGACTTCCTTTGCTGCATTTTATTTATTTATTATTAGTTAATCAATTAATTAATTATATATTTTTTTGAGTTTGAGTCTTACTCTGTCGCCCAGACTGGAGTGCAGTGGCCGCTCCCGGACACCACAGCCTCAATCTGCTGGGCTCCGGCGATCTTTCCGCCTCAGCCTTCCAAGTAGCCGGAATTACAGGCACGTGCTAATTTTTTGATTTTTATTGTAGAGATGAGGTCTCGCCTGCCCAGGCGGGTCTCGAACCCGCGAGCTCAGGCAATCCATTCACCTCAGCCTCCCAAAGGCGCGGGATTACAGGCTGAGCCACCGAGTCCGGCTAATTAATTAATTTTTGATTTGGAATCTCACTCTTACCGTCCAGCCTGGAGTGCAGTAGCATGCTCATGGCCACCTCAGCCTCGACCTGCTGGGCTCAGATGATCCTTCCGCCTCAGCCTTCCAAGTAGCTGGAACCACAGGCATGCGCCACCATGCCCGGCTAATTTTTTATTTATTGTAAAGACGTCTAATTTATTGTAGAGACAAGGTCTCCCCATGTTGCCCAGGTTGGTCTCAAACCCCTGGGCTCAAGCAATCCTCTTGCTTCGGCCTCCCAAAGTGCTGGGAATACAGGTGTTAGCCACCACGCCTGGCTTGCTTTAGCTTTAACAGCGCTTACATGCTTGCTGATTCTTTTTTAACAGAGAGAGCAAGCTTCTGGCTCACACTCTTATTCAATAATATTACCATACTTACTTACTATACCTACGATGCAGTTATCACTATTACTATACTTGCATTTCTTTATTAATGAATTTAAAAAGCCGGGTGCAGTGGCTCATGCCTGCAATCCCAGCACTTTGGAAGGCTGAGGCAAGAGGATTGCCTGAGCCCAGGGGTTTGAGACCAGGTTGGGCAACTTGGTGAGACCTCGTCTCTACAATGCATTAAAAAATCCGAGGGGCATGGTGGCCCACACCTGTGGTTCCAGCTACTTAGAAATGAGGCAGAAGGATCACCGGAGTCCAGGAGGTCAAGGCTGCAGTGGCTGTGTGCGTGCCACAGCACTCCAGCCTGGGTGGCAGTGAAACTACGACTCAAAAAAAAAAAAAATTAAAAGTTATTTGTATGTATATATCTACTTATTTGGTCTTTTTTTTTTTTTTTGAGTTGGAGTCTCACTCTGTCGCCCAGACTGGAGTGCAGTGGCTGCTCCCGGCCACCGCAGCCTCAACCTGCTGGGCTCTGGCGATCCTTCTGCCTCAGCCTTCCAAGTAGCCGGAATTACAGGCATGCGTTACTACGCTCGGCTAATTTCTTTATTTATTGTAGAGATGAGGTCTTGCTGCCCAGGCGGGTCTTGAACCCACGAGCTCAGGCAATCCACTCACCTCAGCCTCCCAAAGACGCGGGATTACAGGCTGAGCCACCGAGCCCGGCTTATTTGGTCATTTAAAAAAAAATTATTTTATTTTTAAAATGTGGGATACAGATGAAGGTTAGGTACATACATGATCATCATACAGGTAAAGTGTAGGTACCCTTATTGATGTTATGTGCCCCCTTCCCCTCGCAGTGTTCCACTACTGCCAATCCCTTTCTTATGGTATTATAATAAATGTTCAGGGTTCAGTTATGAGTGAGTGCATGTGGTACTCAGATCTTTGTTTCTGTGATAAATCACTGAGCATTATAGACTCTAATTCCATCCAGGTTGCTGCAAGGTTCATAATTTTGTTTTTCTCATTTGTTCATTTATCTTTAATGATGCAACATGTATTTAATGAAAATTATTTTCATAATAATCCATCCTAGCATCACAGGATACATTTTACATAACCAACTATTTCTAGAGTTGAAAGAAAAAACTGCAATTAAAAATGTCATGCAAGCCGGGCTTGGTGGCTCAGCCTGTAATCCCAGTGCTTTGGGAGGCTGAGGTGAGTGGATTGCTTGAGTCTGTGAGTTTGAGACCCACCTGGGCAACTTGGCGAGACCTCATCTCTATAATAAATCAAAAATTAACCGGGCGTGGTAGCGCGCGCCTCTAGTTCCAGCTACTTGGAAGGTTGAGGCGGAAGGATCGCTGGAGCCCAGTAGGTCAAGGCTGCGGTGGCCATGAGTGTGCCATTGCACTTCAATCTGGGCAACAGAGTGAGACTCCAACTCAAAAAAAGAAAAAAAAAAGTCATGCTGTCCAGGTCCAGTGGCTCACGCCTATAGATCCCAGCACTTTGGGAGGCTGAAGTGGGAGGATTGCTTGAGGCCAAGAGTTTGAAACCAGTCTGGGCAACGTAGTAAGACCTAGTCTCTACAAAAAAAAAAAAAAAACTAAAAGAAATTAATTAGGCATGATGATGTATGCCTGTAGTCCCAGCTAATTGAGAGGCTGAAGTGGAAGGATTATCTGAGCCAAGGCAGTTGAGGCTGCAGTGAGCTGTGATTGTGCCACTATACTCCAGCTTGGGTAATAGAGTGAGACCTTGACTCAAAAAAAAAGAAAGAAAGAAAGAAATGGAGACTTAATGTCAGCTTTTATTTTTTTAATTTAATTTTTTTTTTGGTGGAGATGGGGTCTCAGGCTGGTCTTGAACTCCTGACCTTAAGCAATCCTCCCACCTTGGCCTCCCAAAGTGCTGGGATTACAGGCGTGAGTCACCTCACTCAACTCTAATATTGATATTTAGAACTGAAAATGGTCTTGGCATCATCTCATCCAACCCTCCTAGTTAAAGTTGGGGAGGTTAAGTGACTTGTCCCTAAACTATCCCTTCCCAGTGTAGGTGGAGAGGAGGTGACATGGGGCTTGAGTGGGAAGTCTATTAAAGGGCTTTCACTCCCTTCAGCTTGAGTTATGTCTGTTCCTCCCCAGGTAAAATGGTGTTTATAAAACACCGCTGTGTCCGCTGGTGGCGTCTGGGTCTGTGATTTTCAGAATTGTCCTCCCTGAGCCAAACGCAAAGAACCAAAATAACTATTATGCTTTTTTGGCTAAAAATATTCTTATTCTGTTTGGAGATATTCTGAATATAGTTGTTTATTTAATTACAGGCTTAGCCCATTTTCCATTTATGGGCCTGACTTAAATATATTTAAACAATTTAAGCCTATAATAATATTTACTGGCGGGTCTTAATTTCATACTGAACTTTCAGGAGCTACTTTTCCTTTTAAGTTTTTATTCTTCTTGAAAAATGTGATGCTAGTGGGTGTGGTGGCTCACACCTGTAATCCCAGCACATTGGGAGGTGGAGGTGAGAGGATTGCCTGAGTCCATGGATTTGAGACCAGCCTGAGCAACATGGTGAGACCTTGTCTCTACAATAAATCAAAAAATTAGCCGGGTGTGGTGGTGCATGCCTGTAGTTCCAGCTACTCAGAAGGCTGAAGTGGAAGAATCACCTGAGCCCAGCAGGTCGAGGCTGAGGTGGCCCTGAGTATGCCACTGCACTCCGGCCTGGGTGACAGAGTAACTATGACTCAAAAAAAAAAAAAAAATTCTTTCAAAAGCAAGACTTAGTTCTACTGCTCTGTGGCTTCAGGAACCCAACAGCATCACATTTTCTTTTTTTTGTTTGAGTCAGAGCCTCACTCTGTCACCCAGGCTGGAGAGCAGTGGCATACTCACAGCTACCACAGTCTCCATCTGCTGGGCTCAGGCAATCCTTCCGCCTCAGTCTCCCAAGTAGCTAGAACTGTAGATATGTGCCACCACTCCCAGCTAATTTTTTGATTTATTGTAGAGGTGAGGTCTCACCAAGTTGTCCAGGCTGGTCTCAAACCTGTGGGCTCAGACAATCCTCTCGCCTCTGCCTCCCAAAGTGCTGGGATTATAGGCCCGAGCCACTGTGCCTGGCTTTAGAGCAGTAATCTTGAAGTTGCCAAGGCCCTAACTGAGTTTAGAAGGCCCTATTTACAGCCATGCAGATATCCTTTTTTTTTTCCCCGAGTTGGAGTCTCACTCTGTCGCCCAGGCTGGAGTGCAGTGGCGTGCTCATGGCCATCGCAGCCTTGACTGCTGGGCTCAGGTGATCCTTCCACCTCAGTCTTCCAAGTAGCTAGAACTACAGGTGCATGCTACCATGCCCGGCTTATTTTTTTGATTTATTGTAGAGACAAGGTCTCACCAAGTTGCCTAGGCTGTCTCAATCCCCTGGGCTCAGGCAATCCTCTCGCCTAGGCCTCCTAAAGTGCTGGGATTACAGGCTGAGCCACAGTGCCTGGCCAATGTACTTCTTTAATGAGCTCAGTTCTTGACAGGGTCTGGAAAGATAGTTGCCAGAGGGTTCTGGGGCTCCTGCCTCCCTGCTCAATATCCCCATCCTTAGATGTGGGTTCTGCTATTATCCCTATGTTGCTCCTGAGGAAACTGAGTCTGCAAAAACGACGAGTGGTCTAAAGGCACAGAGCTGTTACATCTGTGGCCAAGCTGGCTGAATCCAAAGCTCATGCTTCCTCACTGTGCTTCTGGAATTAGAAAGGATTTGATAGTGCATCTTTTTCTTTCATTTATGTGACTAGCTAAAAGCCCATACTAGAAGGCAGTAGGTGGCACGGTGAAGTGACGTATTCATAGCTATTTAAGGCATTGTATCTTCTAGATTAATTATCAGGCCAGGCATGGTGGCTCATGCCTTTAATCCCAGCACTTTGGGAGTCTGAGGTGAGAGGCTTGCCTGAACCCACGGGTTCGAGACCAGCCTGGGCAACTTGGCCAGAACTTATCTCTACAATAAATCAAAAAATTAGCCGGGCATGTGATATGTGCCTGTAGTTCCAGCTACTTGGAAGGCTGAGGTGGAAGAATCACATGAGCCCAGCAGGTCGAAGCTGAGGTGGCCGTGAACATGCCACTGCCCTCCAGCCTGGGCAACAGAGTGAAAGACTCCAACTCAAAAAATAAAAATAAAAAAGATATCACTGAAGACTATAAAATGTTTCCAACCTAAATAATGAATCTCTAATAATTTATCTCTGGGTAAGGTATGCCTACGATGTACACACGAGAGGGAGTGCATGACTGTTATCTAAAATAAGTTGTGTGGTTTTTAAAAATATAGATGGGGGCTGGGCATGGTGGCTCACGCCTGTAATCCCAGCACTTTGGGAGGTGGAGGCAGAGGCGGAGGTGAGGATTGCCTGAGTCCAAGGGTTTGAGGCCAGCCTGGGCAACTAGGCGAGACCCCATCTCTACAATAAATAAAAAAATTAGCTGGGTGTGGTGGCACGCACCTGAGGTTCCATCTACTTGGTAGGCAGAGGTGAAAGGATCACCTGAGCCCAGTAGGTCAAGGCTGTGGTGACTGCAAGCATGCCACTGCATTCCAGCCTGAACAACAGAGTAAGACTCTTACTTAAATTAAATTAATTGGTCTTGTTATGTTGCCCAAGCTATTTTTGAACTCCTGGGCTCAAGCGATTCTCCTGCCTCAGTCTCCCAAAATGCCAGGATTATTATAGGCATGAGCCACTGTGCCTGGCCAATAAGCTGTTTTTTTGAAGGAGCATCTGAAAGACACTTGGAGAAAGGAGGCAGAGAAGTACAGGCGGAAGCCTGCATGGACTGAGTGAACGTCCATTGCCAAGACCACTAGGCACTTTACATGGTCCTTCTTGGGCCTGGTGCAGTGGCTCTTGTCTATAATCCCAGTGCTTTGAGAGGCTGAGTCAGAAGGATTGCTTGAGGCCAGAAGTTCAAGACCACCCTGGGCAACCTAGCACGACTTCATCTATACAAAGATAAAAATAAATTATCGGTTGGCAGTAACCCTGCTAAGTGGTGAATGCTACTGTTTTATACGAGGACACGGGCCCAGAAAGGTAAGGCAACGTCACTGGATTAGAAAGTAGCAGGGCAGGCATTCCAAGCCCAGGCCTGGGCAGTCGCCAGGCACCTAGTGTCTTTTCTAAACGGACTCCCAAATAAAATAAGTGTCCTATTGACATGGAAGTGAAGTCAGAAGTTGCACAGACTTTGGACTCTCCATCTGAAACTTCAATTTCCTTTTCTATAAAATGGGGCTGCATCACCTGCCTCCTAGGTTTACTGTTGATGGCTGCCACATGTGGAACTGTTAAGTGTCAAAGAAGTATAATGTATGACCCCTTCTGTCTCTGGCCTGACTGGCTTCCCTCGTGTTTACTCTGGAGTCTCTGCAGGTCCCTGCTCTAACCTCAGTTTCCCCACTTCTTCCAGGGCCAGCACAGAGCAAATGCCAAGAGCTCTTGTGCAAGTGTGACCAGGAGATTGCTAGCTGCTTAGCCCGAACCACATACAACTTCAAGTATCTCTTCTACCCCAAGCATCTATGTGAGCAGGACTCGCCCAAGTGTGACTGACTAGCTTGACTTCAAATGTCCTTTTGCACAAGGAAATAAAGCTTCTTCTCCCTAATACACAACTGCATTCAGTTCTTTACAGAAGGGAACTGCCAAGCCATAAAGCCACAACACTGTGTTTGCTTTTGCTCCCCATCCCGAAACTCGGGACTGGCACCTGTTGGGTTTCCAGTTTAAGGTCAAAAATCCTGTGGCAATTTTGCAAAACCACAACTGCTTATGAGTATGTTGCATTTGGTATTATTTGTGAGGTTCAACCTTTATGAAATGAAAAGGTAGCCTCTGTCTTCTGGCCTCCTCCCTCTGGTCGGGAGGTCAGATGCGAAGGCACATCTACTGTGCGCCTGGCCATGTTCTAGGCTCTGGGTCACAGTCATAAAGATGGCTCCAAGATGTCTGCCCTTGTGAAGTTCAAGTCTTGTAATTGTCAGCTTAAGAAACAGTATTCCTCATCCCACTCTGCCTCAGTATATATTTCCTGATTACAAAAGTTGTACAAATTCATTGCCTTTTTTTTTTGAGTTGGAGCCTCACACTGTGGTCCAAGCTGAAGTGCAGTGGCTTGCTCATGGCTACTACAGTCTCGACCTGCTGGGCTCAGGTGATCCTTCCACCTCAACTTTCCAAGTAGTTGGAACTACAGGCATGCACCACCACGCCCGGCTAATTGTTTGATTTATTGTAGAGATGAAGCCTCACCAGGTTGCCAGGCTGGTCTTGAACTCATGGGCTCAGGCAATCCTCTCATCTTGGCTTCCCAAAGTGGATTATAGGTGCGACCCACTGCACCTGGTTGTCTTTTTTTTTAAGTGAAAATACAGAGAAGCCGGGCTCGGTGGCTCAGCCTGTAATCCCGTGCCTTGAGAGGCTGAGGTGAGTGGATTGCCTGAGCCTGCGGGTTCGAGACCCGCCTGGGCAACTTGGAGAGACCTCATCTCTACAATAAATCAAAAAATTAGCCAGGCGTGGTAGTGCGCGCCTGTAGTTCCAGTTACTCGGAAGGCTGAGGCGGAAGGATCGCTGGAGCCCAGCAGGTCGAGGCTGCGGTGGCCGGGAGCGGCCACTGCACTCCAGTCTGGGCGACAGGGCGAGACTCCAACTCAAAAAAAAAAAAAAAGAAAAGAAAATACAGAGAAATATAGGGCAGGAAAAAAAAATTCACTCTGGTGCCCATAGTCCAGAATAATCCGTCAGTATCTTAGTGCTGTCCATCAGTCTTTTCTGTGGTTTCAAAAATATAGTTTAGCCAGGAGTGGTGGCTCATGCCTGGAATTCCAGTACTTTGGGAGGTAGAGGCGAGAAGACTGCCTGAGCCCACAGGCGCGTGACCTTGTCTCTACAATAAATCAAAAAAATTAGCTGGACGTGGTGGCACAGGCCTGTAGTTCCAGCTACTTGGAAAGCTGAGGCAGAAGGATCGCCTGAGCACAGCAGGTCGTACCATACTTCAGCCTGGGCAACAGAGTAAGACTCCGACTAAAAAAAAAAAAGAATA